TATACACAAGGTTTCTATGGCAACTCCTCTGTTCCAGTTGGTTTGGAATTATTAAATAGTATAAGACATATATATCTATTTGATCTTTATGGACCAATTACTAAGGACTTAATTCTAGTTTTATGGTTTGTTTCTTCTTTGCATTAATGTTTAATCTGAGACGACTGCTGTGATTTTGGGCCAAACAAAAATGAATGCATTTAAATTTTAATGTTGAAAAAATAATCTCTGAGTTCTGTAAGAACAAGTTGAAGTTGGCAAAATGTGGAATAGTTTTTTTTCTGAAGTTCATGAGAAGCTAAAGCCAAACGACGGCTCAGACTCTGCAGATTCTAAACTGAACTCGACGGTCTGGTGTTTACCTGAAAACACACGTCTCTGACACCGTCTGTGACTAACTGGCCTCAGGAGCAGCGTCAACAAGTATAATCCACTGTCGGCCATCTTGGATCCTTTCTTCACCGCTGCGTCGCTAACTACCTTATTAACATTTCATAGCTCACAGGAAGTAGCTCCGATTTTCCTTCTTCCATCAGAGACGAGCTCGAGCTATTTCTGACGCTGCAGCAGGAAAAGTGCAGGAAACTTGGATTCTTTTTCTCAAAACTGCTTTTTTTGGTCATCAGGACGTTCTTCTGTCACTGCAGCTTTATAGACCTGTGTTCAAGGGTCTGTTTTAATATAAAGTGTGTTGGAACAGTGGGGAAATGTCAGTGTTGTGTCAATAGTTACACAGCAGTAACTACTAAAGTAAAACACATGTCGAGCTTTGATAAAGAAGAATTAAATCCTGTATATTCATCTGTCTCTGTAGGACAGAGATTATTATAATGAAGTCAGAAATGAGTTTATTGACCTGAAAACAGCCAAAATCACAGAAATGAGTTTATTGATGATAAAGGGAGAAAGTCTGTGTTTGTAAAAGGACATTATCCAGCTCTAACCAGAGGGTTTTAATAAACACATTAATGACATATTCTCATGAGAAACTAATACAATTATCTTTGAGAATCTAGTTTTTGGAAAAACATCTTCATTTAGTTCATTTAATCTACAATTGGTTCTTTTCTTTTATTGAAAAACACTAAACAGTATAATTTTAAAAATACATATAGAACATAAAACATGCTCAACGGGAAAAGGTAGAAAATGAAAGAATTTATAAAGAACTTTATTCTAGTGCAGAATAATGAGTGAAAAACAAGATAATCTGACAATGTTTATATTAAAGGATTAAAAATGTCTCCTGCAGACACTGTCAGAACTTTATATGTAGTTCATATGTAGTTCATATGTAGTT